TTTTAAAATGTGAAATGGAGTTTAATGTAACTTTTATAAAAAGTAAAGTAAATTATCTACATGTATATATCCCATAATGTCCCTGTGCTGACCTTTTTACTCTTTGCTTCTCTGTCAATACTATATGGCATAATATGCCACACGACCCCACTGCGGAATGGCGGACTTTTCATATCTGTTTCTATAATCATTCATTTTGAATGCGGTAAAGACGTTGTCAGCGATGACGTGATGAACGTGGTCTCTAAAAGTTGACCTTTTGGAGAAGCTCAGACTCACACAGCGAGCTATGGAGAGAGCTACCTCGCTCGAAAAACTGATGCCCGATGAAGAGTTTGCGAGTGGCGACACCAAACGGGTAGACGTTGTAAGGCCTCCCTCTAGATGGACCGACGACATCATAATGGTCGCGGGCAACCGGTGGATGCAAATGGCTAAGTGTCGTTCGTTGTGGCGTTCTAAGGGGGAGGCCTATGTCTTGCGGCTGATGATGATGATGAAAGTCATTCCTAAGACCAATGTCACTAATAAAATGAGATTATACAACATGGCCGGTTTATGCACCCGGATTGGATACGAATAATAGTTTTAAATTTCTTCTTAAGAGCAGAGAATAGCACTATAAATTGAACATCCCTTAAAAAAATTTAAGAGCAAAGGTGTTATTACTAGTTTTTAAATATTTCTTTGTAAAATATTATATTTTGTGGTCCTTTTGTGTAAAGGAAACACACTAGATGACAGTAAACATTTTTTTAAAAATGTAATAAAAACAAAGTAGATTTTCGTCAGTGTGAAGATAGGTCGTTTAGTTCAGTGACAGGAGAGACAGGTGCGTGTCTTGGAGGCCACAGGTTTAATATCTCGCAGCGGCGAAAAACTATAAGTCCCTTCTTCTAAAAATATTTTAATTTGAATATAAAAATTAATATCCTTATATTTTATTATTTTAAGGCAAAGAATATAAAATGGGTTAATAAATACTAATAAAATATTTTTCCCATACATCTTAAAAGATAACAGACCTGTCGTATATCCGACGATTGAAGATTTGATAATGCTACAGAACATTTGTCACACAAAAATAAATTAAAAGTTGATAATCATCGACTCCATGCCTACCATGTTCTTCTTACGCAGGTGATAATGTGTCGAGTGCTGTGCCACCGCGGGCGACGTTAGAATAAGTCTGTTGGAGTCAGTCGTTCTATTTATGCGTTTAAATTATACACTCATCAACGACTAGTGACACTAATACCACGCAAAGAACGTTCCTCTATTTAAACCCCGTTTAGAATCGGCTCTATCCATGGCAGACGCTAAGGCGTATCACTTGATGTTAAGTGAGACCACCTCCAATTGAAATCTACAAATTCTTTTTTTCTAACATTGCTCTTATTTTAGGCTAACATTTTCCTGTGTTGTAAGGACGTATTAAAAACATAAATTTCACGTCGACAAACACCTAGATGCGAAACAATCTATCTGTGGGTCATACAAATATTTGTTTTGTGTGGGGATAGAACATACGATCCCCAACGCCGAAGCTAATACCTTGGAAACTGCGCCACGGAGTCTTCAAATCTTTGGGGTTACAAATATGTTGCCTGCCTTTAAAAGAATGGATAACGGTTACATCACTCACCAGGTGAAATGTAGAGGTATGATATGTCAACAACAGGTCCGTCTTCGGAGAGAACAAGGTACTTTCCTAGACGAGATACCAACTCCTGCAACACCAGACCCATTATTAGTCATAAAGTAATCGGGCGAAGTCTTTCTGGAAGATAGGTAATAGTTAAGAATTGTAGTAGTTTTTTTTGATAGTTTTTATTTTGACAAAATTATGTTTCTTTTACCTAAACAACGTTTTTCGCATCATGAACTCTAGACTTGACATGTCGTATAACAGTAACTTTTGCAGGTAAGAAGTCCTAAATACGGAAACTTCATTACTTTTTTATGATTCCCTTTTCGATAAACGTGTAAACTATACGGTACAAAGCCACAAAATCAAAGACATGTTGCAGTAAAAGTTGAGTACATTTACCGTTAAAAACGATCAGCTCTGTTTCCAAGTATCAACTCTAAAGATTTTATACTTTAGGACTGATACTTAAAACTGAGCTGTAATGTTATTCATTATCTAAGTAATATGCCTATGCAAAGTTATAGTGTTTTTAGAGGCACATGCTAAATACCGGTATCCGATCAATATTGGGCTCTTCAGTCATGTGGGTAAACCAAGAGATGGAATTCAATTTTATACATACAACAATTTTAATGTCTTTGCGACTTACTATTAATCATCACTGTATATCACTGTATTGACCTTGTTATGCTTAGAGAATTGTGTTTGTAAGCAGGCTATACAATCCTTACATCCCTTGTAAGTCTTTTTTTCTGAGACTTCTTGTAAAGAACTTTAGAAACGACTCGTAGCTATAGATAGTGTTATCAAAATTTAAAAAGGTGACTGCAGTAACAGACAGCACAACAGACACGTTTAAGAATGTTTTCTATATTACCTTTAAATTAAATGAAAACAAAAAGTCGCCTCAATGCCTCTGGAAGATCTCTGAGGTGTATGTATACTAGTATATGTTTTACAGAGACGTATTGTGTTTTCTTTGAATCAATATATCAGCGATGATGGAGTTTCATATTACATGTACTTTAATTCAAACAGTTTTTCATACGCTCATGCAGAAAAAAAATATAAAAAATATGAAGCAACTTAGCTCAGTAAAGCGCCATTCGCTTTTAAAGACATTAATGTGTATTTTGCCCATGTTTTTATGTCAGTCGATCTCTATTTTTATTTCTGATGTATTTTAAAGAGTTAACTTTTAGAATTTTCCCATGGTTACTAGCAGCAGTGTTTACATCTGTGTTTTGTTCTTGTCTCTTCATGTCGGCAATGACGAGGAAGAAGATAAGACTGTTACAGAGCACCTATGCTTTCAGGGTTACCATGACGCATACATAATTAAACGCGTTGATAACACTGACCCGACCCACTACTATCTTACACCATCAAGGAGGTGGTTGAAAAACATTTCTATTTCGTCCGAATTATTACTTCTGCAGAAATACTTATTGCTTACTAGCTGCTGCCCGCGACTACGTCTGCGTAGAATAGACTGAAGGCGTAATATTCAGACAGAAAGACAGTATATAAAATATGTATATAAATTATAGCCTATTATTCTGATGTATAAGCTATATAATGGTAAAGTTTCATTAAAATCCATTCTGTAGTATTTGCGTGAAAGAGTAACAAACAACCATCCATACATCCATTTTCGCCTTTATAATATTAGTAAGGATTAGTAAGGATGTAAATGGGAATAAGAATGAGAAAGCGTGTTACTCCGTGACGAGGTCAACGACCCGTGATGGACACCAATCGCGGGTTACATAAAGAGAGACATTATCCACGCCGCGACTTAGTCACGAGCGGGCAATTTGATAGCAATCGACGTTGCGACGGCTCCGTGCCACCCACGGCCTTATGAACCCTTGGTACTCTAGGTGGAGATCTAAATACGTTATTATCACCAACAGTGCCCAGTAAATTATGGGAATCGGAAGGGAGACTGCCAAATTTGCTGCTCTGGGTGGATTGCTGTGGACACACCTCGATGTAAATTCAACTTCACTACATACTCGTAGTATAAAACAAAGTCGTCCCGCTGTCCGTATGTCCCTATATATGGTTAGATCTTTAAAGCTTCGCAACAGATTTTTCGGTTTTCATTAATAGATAGAGTGATTCAAGAGGAAGGTTTATATGTATAATTCATGCATAATATAGTAGTTAAACACTGAAAGGAAAGAGGTTTCTAATGCGATGTCGAAAAAAAACATTCAGCGTTGCAATCGCGCGAAGCCGAGTGGGTCGCTGGCCTATATATAAACGAATCACTTATTCGCCTAGTTATAATTAGGTTCCATAAAAATGAAAGTTCTATACCGACTTATAACTAAGCTCATGAATGAAAGGTTATGTTTTGCCTCAAGTTTAAAACTAATAACGATATTAAGTTGCAAAAAAAATAGGTAATAAATCGTAAAGTTGGGCGCTTAAATGTGACACTGGCCGGGCGCTGATTCTTTAAAAGAATAAATAGAATCCACGTTAATATATCGTGGTATATCCATTCGAAATTGGGCGGGTAGAAAAAAAAATAAAGGTCGAAAAACCAACAAACTGAATATCACGGCACCTACCGCCCCGAGGAGCCAAAATTTAATCATACACATTATCCAGTTATGACAACCGGTCTCAACAGCAAGTTAAAGTATGTTCATAAATTATACGAAATAAACATATTTTTAAATTGGTGTAAAAATCATCTAATCTCACAGTATTGTTTGACATAAATGCGCAATAATTTAGATCTATAAATGATTTGTAACATTTAACATTTTGATGATGTTTAGATTTTAGTTTTTAATAGCTAAAGTATAGATTGTTTTAAGATGTCTATAAACTTCTATAGGATTTGGATATTTCTTTAAAGTTTTAAAACTTTAGTAAAATGTTATGCTTGTTATAATTAGTCATGTTAGCGAACCATTTGAAACCATATTATTAAACATCTATTAATATAAAATAATTATAATTTATTTTATATATTTTGTATTTTAATTTATTTTTAAATTTCCTTAGTCACAGGGCAACCTGTGCTTGAATAAAAATAATATAAAAGGATGTAAAGTCCGTAAAATAATCTTATTCAACTGTATGTCATGTTCGCCTACATACAAATCATTATGATTAAATATTATTACTGTCACATCACATAATCGACGTCCATACACACGCATTTAGGATCGGTTAAGTCTAGTTCCAGCAAGGAACAGTTGGCTTTTGGAACAATCTGTATCTTTCGCATAGCATAATTTATAACGTAAGCTCGCCCTGTATAATTAGGTCCGGTCTGGGCCACGTTGATTGCTTATTATATTGATGTTTCAATTTTATACTCATTTTTATGGTCATCGGCCAACTGTGGGGGGTGGCCACCCAGACGGGCGCGTCTCTCTCTCGCACCGCTCAGCGCCCCGTTAAGTCTATCCTCTTCTACTTCTGCGCGGGTGGACGCAGGTCGTTGCGTCCCTTTTCAACGTATGCGTTCAACTATCGCCGTCCCGCTTCCGAGCAGGTTACCGATTACGGCGGTCGTGTTGAGTTGCTCGTTATCGCCAGGCGTCGTAAGAGGTCCAGTGCCTTGGAAGCAATCGCGCGGCGGCTGGCATTGATAAAGACAGATGTTTCCTTTATTGCCTCCGATAGTGTAAGCAGTGGCGTATAGCAATTACGTCATCCCACGATCACCTGCTGAGCGTTAGCTTTCATCGATTCGAAAATTAACTTCGAATACCTTAAGATTTGTAACTTTTCGCTCGGTTACGCTTTGCCACCAAATTTGTTCCCAATTGAAGGTCGACAAGTTCTCGGGCCAATACATGCAATCCTCAGCGGAGATACGGGCGACGACTAAAAAAAGCTTTTCGAGAATACGAATTAGGATGAGTCCTTAAAATTGTATTCAGAATCAATTAGTGACAGGTTTGGGGAATTTGGGAAGGTTCTCGCTCAATAAAAAGTGTCGCGGACTTCAAAAGACCACAGATAATTAATAGAATTTAAAATACCACAATCACACAGGTTAATAAAACAGAAAGAGACGAACGAATCGCGATGCGCGGTACAAATTTCGTTCTGGATGTTAGACAGTCCCAAAATAAATCTTCGGGAATTTTGTAGTCTGGGGGATTTCGTATTAGCAGAACTCGTCACGTTTGTTCCCATTCATGGGAACATTTCAACAATTTTCATCAACTCAAATTTCTTCATAGTTATTTGGTTTAGATGTTCCATTTTTTAAATGTTTAATTAAACTCATTACTATAATCGTATAAAACAGGAAGTACAAATACAATACATATTGTGTGTTTTGAAAGTGAGGTATTATTTATGGCTTATCGTTTACGCATAACTAGAATACAATCGAGGGGATAATTTGGTTAATTCCCCCTCGTTTTTCATACTCGTATTACATTTTAACAATCGTTTAAATTGCGAACGGTTCGCCGGACCTCATTAAAATTTGTGTCTTGTTAAAACGAAATCACGCGGCGGAGTGGTTGCATTGACAACATTGTCGGCTGCAATCAGATAATCGATGTTGTTAACTTATTTATTGTTTCCTGCAACGAAAAGTTCCTGTTATTCAAAGTAGTGGTGTGAAATCAAACAGAATTGCGAAATTGTCAGACATTTAAAGTAACGTTCAGCTCTAATAAGTTTTGTCTATGCTTAGCGATCTCTTTTTTTCACTATAATAACCACAAAAACATTTCCAATCAATATGCGCTAGAGTTTTGTCCCAAGTCTCCATTCGGTGGTCTTTAAGTGAAACGAAGACCGCTCGGGCACCTCACTATTTAAGATTCGAGCTCGTTAAATTTTATTTCGAAAGTTCGAGAAACAAAAAACGGAAAAGAGCGCGCTGCGACGGCCGGCGAGCGGCGCCTCAACATCATTTATAAATCAGGGCCCGCCATCTTGTAGATTATCCGATTAACAAGTCAACTGTTAACAAACATAGATCCTTTCCCTTCGGCCGTGTTCTTGGCTACCATTACGTTCACGCCGAATGGGTTTTGTAACAGATCGTGACATTTTTTTTCTGTCCCTCAAACCTGTTGGATTGTGCGCCTTTGGATGCGGGCTTAATGACCGTTGTGATTGATTCGGCGGAAAGCCGTTTGGTTTGGATTTCATTCCGTCATAGGTATTAAATATAATTTGTTTTGAAATACATCAATGGCGCCATTGTAGATCGGTGTATCGGTACAATGTTGGTTTCAATCGATTGTCGGACGGCTGAGTGACGTTTTCGATATGTATTCTGGAAATTGAATTTGCAGGTCGCATTTGAATGTCCAGTGAAATTGTTTAGTAGGATTTCGGATGCAATATTTATATATTACATACGATATAAACATTTTTGTCATGAACTTGACAGTTTAGTGCTTGATTTTTTTACTTGATGCACTTACCTCCACTTCCCATGGGAATCAGCATTTAATAAAATATAACAATACCACTCAATAGTTTTTCGTGCAGTGGTAAATAACGTTCAGTTAATTTGAAGAGTTTTTTGTTTATATCCAGTGGCGGATTTTCCCTAAGGCGCAGTAGGCCCGGGCCTAGGGCGGCCCAATATTAGGGGCGGCCTTGACAAAATTGGATTCCCACAGCGGTGAAAAACTTTTCGTGTTTATTCTACAACTTTAACCATTATAAAATACTTATAATATCTAAACTTGTATGAGAATAAATCTGCAGTTAAATAAATAAAACCTAAAACTTTTTTCACGGTGGTAGGGCCATGCAGCAGCCTCGGCTGTTGCACGAATGGGCAGGCTCGTCCGGGTAAGTACCACGACCTCACAGAAGACCGGCGTAAAGTGGAAGTCTAGTACTTTCGCGTTTCGTCTGGTGAGTGGAGTAGCCGGAGCCCAATTTCCAAAAGGGTTGTCAACACATCTACAAACCCTCGGGTTCAGCAGATGTCCATGGGCGGCGGTATTCACTTAACATTAGGTAAATAAAACAGGTTTGGCATTGGTTGGATCGAAAATAGAAACTAGCAGCAGTTCGCTTTCTGAATCTATTTGGATAAAAGTTGGGAATAAAGTAAATTCATTATATAGGCTATATGACGGGTGCTAATAAAGGGGTGGCCTGGGGCCTAGGGTGGCCAAGACTGGAAATCCGCCAATGTTTATATCTATCGAGATTCGCCGATAAATCTTGAAAATGATCCAAAAAAAGCTTTTAAAATTTACTAATACTATAAAAGCGAAAGTTTATATCCAAGTATTTGCTTAGTCAAGCCAAAATGGAGGATATCTGCCGCCGGAGACTAGAGCGCAGGAGGTTTGCCTATAGAGAACAGGGAACCCATGATAGGGGGAGGGAGGGCGCTAGAGGCCGGTATGGAGGTGTCTGCACAGTATGGACTTTTAGGGGTTGCTTTGCTAAATGCACCAGCACGTCACCATTTGGTCGGACTAGGTGTCCTAACACCCGGGAAGAGGTCAAGAAGGCCATACTCGCGCCGAGGTCGTCTGATGATATACCACGGCCATACAGAAAACCGGAGTGAAGTGTAACATGGTACTTATTCTACTTTCGCGTTTCGTCTGGCAAGTCAGGTAGCCGGGGCCCACTTTTTTTCAACAAGTTTCTCAGCATCTGCAAGCCCTCGGGCGTTTCAGCAATCACTTAACATCACGGTGAATCGCCGGCTCGTTTGACGTCTTTTCAAAAATAAATTGCATCACGTTCATGTCCGTCGCAAAGCTGCTCTGTAAGCGTTTTCTCGTTTTGTCGACGTCCCAATGCCTTGTTGCTCGAGCGTTAATTAACACGAAAGAGGATGCGTAGGCCGACCGCGGGTGGTCCGTTAAGTAGGAAGCGATGCGGTCAATTACTAGTTGACAGCGGCGATTAAGAGGTCGCCCTGTATCCTTCGTTAGTGCGAATCGGTTAGGAGTATGAACGCGTTGCTGCGATCTCTGCCTGTGCAACTTGCGTATGCTCAGCGATTACGAATAAGCCGGGTCATAGCTCGATGGTGTGATCTAGTGATCATACCATGGCGCAGATGCCAAGGAATTGGCTTCGGGGGTCGTGGGTTCGATTCCCACACTAGATAACTAGTTTTGTGACCCACAGATAATTGTTTCGGATCTGGACGTTTGCCCACGTGAAAATGTATATCAAATGTCCTTACATCACAAAATAATGTTATCCTTAAGTAAGGAGGTAATTGTCTTCAAAGGGAAGACTACAATATATCTTCTAAGTCGCAGTGGTAGCTGGCACTTACTACCCAATCCCTTCCACACAAAGTCACGCCCGCCGTGGATACTCACAACATTCTTACCTTTTTAACGGTTGCGTTTCCGTTACCACTGTGACGTATGTGCCGAAGAGGCAGCTTGACACACGGTGGAGGAATTCCTAGTCTGGACAAACATCGAGCAGAGCTGTATGAGCCATTGTTTGTGGCTGTTGCGACCTTTCTGTCTGGGTGGTTTGCGATATAGAGAACAGTGAGAGGGCTGTGGTGTTATCGTCGCGTACTGCGAGGATATTATCACCCGAGGCGCCGCGGAGAGACGAAGGCAGACAACCACTCTGGTTATCCACTGTTAAAGAGCAAAGCGCAGGAGGCTGGTCTTCGCGCGCACGCTAGACGGCATTGGGATCTCTTCTACTAAATATGCGGCTCCTGAGAGGTGCTGTGCTAATTGCATCGGCACAGCACCATATGGCACACTGGATCGGTTTTCCTAGCAACCGGAACAAGGGAAAGTTGAATGGATACTAGTCTAACACTTTCTCTGTATATGGGAACAAGTACAACATATGAAACGTCTGAGATATATGAAGTACGCAACCCACGCTGGATCCACGTGGAGGAATTTATCGCAATTTCCCCGCTACTCAACATATAGGTATAGCTGCTGCTAAATTTTCTTGCCTCCTTAAACGCCAGTAAAAGGCATTAGAAGTATACATTAGTAGAAAAAGCTGCATTTCAAAGAGGAGAAGAAACAGTATTCGAGCTACTAACCTACACTTACGGTGGTAGGGCCACGCAACACTGTTGCACGACTGGGCTTGTCCGTCCGGGTAAGTACCACGAGCTCACTGGAGACTGGCGTTAAGTAGAAGTGTTAGACTTGTGCATTTCGTTTGGTGAGTGAAGTAGCCGGGGCCCACTTTATTTAAAAGTGGCAACGCATTTGCAAGCCTAAGGGTGTTGCAAATGTCCATGCGCTGCGGTTATTAAACATAACATGAGGTGAACCGCCAGCTCGTTTGCAACTTTTGCACATAAAAAAAAACAGCTATATTCCCTACTGATAGGCATGTCCCTCTCTTTCGTTATAATGTAAAAGCAATGAAAGCTATTCCTCTCCTGCTCATATTTCCTTGATTTAAAAGTCAGTTTCATTCGTAGGTACCGACATACGTGCGATACAATTTATTCGCAATCAAATTCAGCTTTGCTCTTTTCCGTTGTCAGAGGATAGCGAGCGTGTACAGCAAAAATCGGCATAGCTCTCCAAGGGCCTCCGAAATGTATGGCATAGCGAAAATGGAGTAACGATTCGGGCGGTGTCTGGGGACGCTTTGGGCTTCCTTTGAAACCTTAACGTTTCCAATGTACGTAGGCGAGTGGAATGGCTTGAACATGAAATGTGACGGCGAAGAACAAACAAAGATCATCATAGGCGGAATTTATATATTTGTTGGGACGAGCGCGTAAATTAACAGTAATGATTTATTTATTTACGCGATTAGTATTCATGGTTGAATAAAGATACGAATTGTCAAATTTATCGCATCCGTTTCGGGAAATTTTATAGTGTTCTTGTTCACAGGACAAAGCATTCAAAACAGTTATATTCAAACAAGTGATGATAGTAATCGAATGTTAGCGAGAGGTTGAAATAAACAAAATAACATTTTCCTCAATAAATATTAAGTCTAGAAAGATTGCAAAGAAGAATCGTAGAAACAAAATAGTTCGATACTCGGGTGGTTTGAATCGATACTTTTATGCCTACAGGAATAAATTTGGAATATCGAAAAAACTTAACCGATTTCAAAACTGATTTATTCTTATAGCTTTTGAGACAATTTACTACCTTATCGACGAAAAAAGCTGGCGCCGCCTTAAATAATAAAAAATGTCCTATTGTTCCATGATTGCATATTTTTTTGGTCTAAAAACAATATATTTTTGGTTAAATTAATTGCATAAAAAAAAATCTAATTGGAATTGAGTGTCGAGAAATGAAATTAAAATTGAACGCGATAAATCCGAAATTACAATTTAGTTCTATTTAGTAATTATGTAACCGCGTAAATATCAGAAAATATCATGGGATGGTTATTTAAAAAAAAATATCAAATTATGCAAAGTAAACATCGGTTTCTGGCAACACAAACAATGAACACGTTAACGATTTATTCGAAATTCAAGTAACTGACATTGAGAAGTGACAGCTCACACTTGTGAGGAATGCGACGCGGCATCGCAAGTGCGCCACGTGGTAACATTGTTACAAATACAAGCCGGTTAAATGCATGGAATTACACGAGAATGCTCAGTCTTCGCGTAGCAGAATTCGAATCAGAAAACGCATTCGAACATTTTGGATGTTTAAAAGAATTTTCCAACTGCACTGCGAATTCGTATCGCAAAACAAAAATCGGAATGACGCGACGGGCGAAATGCGGCATGGAAATGCTTCGCTACGAATGTTAGTAAAAAAGAGTCTTGAAGTCTTTTCGTTTCGATCGAAGCGAGATTAACAAAGGGACTTTATATCGGATACATTACAAATGGCGCTGGAGGTCGCAATTGTAAAGTTTCGCACACTACAGCAATGCGGACTGTCAAAAGCCGATGCCGGGGCGAGTCGTTTCACCCCCGGTGTCCGGAGAATTCACCCCCGGCGTGTCCACTCTACACTCACACCATTTCCCTCACCCCTTGACCGTTTAGACGGCTGCTACTATAGAAACACGAATACGTAACAGCAGTGACAAATCTAGTTCTAAACATCAGTCTGTAAGGGTCGTTCCTGGTCTTATTGGATCGTTTTTGGTACCGACCTTGTATGTTAACGAACTTAGATCGACAAAAATTCGAAAATCTTTTTCTATACTTATAAATAAAACTAAAGAGTTTGTTAAATCGCCTTAATCTCTGGGACTAGCGTTCGGACTTGAAAAATCTTATTGCATTTGATAGCTCAATTCTTGAGGAAGGTAATAGGCTATTCAACATCACGCGGTAACTTGCGGGTGCAAAGCAGAAACGTTTCTAGTGGGTCAAATCGCTTGGAACAGCTAGTTACATTTAATAATATAGCATCCGCGTGATATAGTTTGAATTAACTAAACTCAAAAACTAGCCGATGGATTGACTTGATATTTGTTCCCAACATAGCTATTGAGCGGGAAAATGTTTTACATATTTCTAATCCAAAGTTCTAAGGGATACGAACAATATATGACAGCGAAACGTAGGAGGGTTCAGATAGTATTTTTCGAAAAAATGATTACTATGTAAGAAGAAGACATTATGGTAGACTTGAGATTACTGACGCTTTCGTGTCCCAAAACTCAAGATGCTAGCTTTTAGCTCCAGCTTTTGCTGTTTGACGAATGGCAGGCTCATCAGGGGAAGTGACAGAAGACTAACCTGAAGTGATAGTGATATACTTTTGCGTTTCGTCAGATGTGGGGTAGCCGAGGCAGACTGTTTCAAAAGGTTGATAACAGGTATCGTAGTTGTTCATGGGCAGCAGTAAACATTCAATGTCAAGCGCACGCTCTCAGATACTGGTAAAACGCTTGCAATAGCTTTAATGTGTTCTTCTGTTTATAATTTTTATCTGTTTCAATTATCATATCTATACTGTGTTTCCTACTGTTTTCACTTCTCTTAATTTTTAAAACGAAAAGAATGGAGGGTGTGCCAATGGACAGTGGTTAATGTATAAGATATGTCGAAATTTTCGTATTAAGAAATATGTAATTTGTAAAGTGCCGCTGGCAAAATGGTAAATACGTAAATAAGTTTATTAATTAAAATAAAAATCAAGAAATAAGTAGTGTCGAGTTTAATTTGTTGAATATTTCATTCAAGCGATGGTAGGGGCTTCCGCCGGACAGCCAAAGGTGTCATGGAGACGGTTCACTCGAGCGGGGTTGGAGGTGGACTTGGATCTAACGCAGCCTAATATAGCTGTTCCGAGGGCGGTCGATTGCTCACTAAGTGGCTGCCCCGGCCGAGTGCCTGAAATTAGCACTCGAGCTCGTCTTGGGGCCTGTGCAAATATGAAATCACCACTTCGCCATTGTGGAGGTTGCAATCGGAGGTGGTTCTTGCGTTTTTGTTCGCTGGCGACCGAAGTGCTATTGGTTTGGAGGAGGAAAGTACTTATTACTTCTACTTATTCTGAAAGTACTTATTCTTAGTACTTAAAGTATTTTAAAAAAGAGCAACTGTTGAGTTTCTTGCCGGCTTCTTCTCAACAGAAACTGCTTTCCGAACCGGTGGTAACTTACGAACGTGTTAATTTCTTGTAAAATTTGACGTTTCATAAGAACGCGCAAGCGTCTATGTGAATAAAGATATTTTATAATTATTTTATTATTAATTACTCCACTAAAAATGTGGTAATGGTTCGAGTTTTAGAATTTTTTTTGAATGATGTAAAGGGTTCCACGTGCAAAATCATGTTGAATTAAAAGCAATTATTGTTTTAAAATATAAAGATGTCGAAATGTTATAAATTTTTTGCCTTGAATGTATAGACGTAAAAATATCACAAAGATTTTAGAAATGTTGTAATATTAAAATAAAATACGATAAACGCTTTGCTTTTGATTTTGTATCTGTCCGCGTTTAACAATATTCCGCATAAGTTTGATGTATGTTAAGAAATAGTAGTCATGTAATACGTAAAAATTACAAAGTAAACACTATATTACGAATAAATTTCAAAAACTGTAATCATGGAAAGTAATTTTATCGGTACATTTACAAAAATTGGATCACCATATTACAATACCGTGATAGCTCAGTGTGCTCGCTTTTAATTCAATATACTCAAGCAACATGCAGGAAAACATCATGAGGAAACCTATTTCTGTACCTAATTTAGTAAATATAGATTTCCTAAATCGAACGATTCTAGTTAGTTTCAATCGCTTCAATGAGTTATTAAAATGCATTTTGATTTACGAAAAACTATGAAAATGAAATTTAAGACTATTAAATAATGATCGAAATATTTTAAACATATTACGCAGTCCATAATGGGGAAGGATCTTCAGGACATCCTAAAAGGATTTTAAGAACATTTTGAAGTAATCCTTTTGGAATTTTGTTAACATTGCACTCATGCATTGCTGCTACAAGCAAGATGTACACAATTTCATTATTGATTCTTTCCGGTCGTTAACTGTTGTTTCTTTTTTATTCAATCAAGTTGAATCAATTGTAAATGCGGTAGTTACGGGAGATTATGTAGAGCCATTAAGTTCTTAGGGTTTTTTCACTCAGTGGCGCTGTTGCTAAGCTATATTATAGGGTTGTGGGCTCGTTGACGTCAGACGGCTTGTCGTAAATGACCTAGCAATTACAATAACAACGTGATTCACATATTGTGCCGAACCCACCTAGGTGTGATAAGGGAATCCTTACCATGATGATGATTGTCTTTAGAATAAAACTTTTACTGTTACGTAACATTTATTACATAAACTTTAATTCTATTTAGCAAAAATTTCTTTGCTTTAATTCATTTAATTCATTTCCAGGATTGGTGCGAAGACAAAACATTATAAATAAAACTGTTTTACGTATTTAAGTGGCTTTAGTTTTATTTAAGATTCGTTTTCATGATAGTGAATAATATAGAGTTCAATAGCGAGAATTAAAAACCTAATCGAACTAATCAAATCCGTGGAATACTTATATTTACTGTCATCTCACCTAATTATAAGAAGTAATCTGTTGTATATCAATATCGATATAGCAATAAATTAACCTGGATAAAAATTAAGGGTGATATTTATGTAAATCCATTATTAAGGATTTAAGTAGACGATTTAAGTCAGCTGAATACAAAGAAACTTTCGTCGTGACCGCGGTGATATCGATTTTTCAAACGTAAAATTTTCGTCCTCCCAAGCCAATTAAACTAGAATAAACCTCTTATTAAACACCCCATAGTTACCCCCACCGTCCCACCGAAACAACATGGCGTCATGATTGTCACCTACGATTTAGCAGTATCCAAAAAAACGAATATTCATTGAAAAATAAACTTTACCGCGAAGCTAGTAAGGCGCCGTTATATGCAAGTAAGAGTTGTCGCTTGCACCTGAAGACTTATTCTTTTAACGCGTGTGCAATATCACTCCATTCTGTGCAAGTAATGCTCGATTCAAACTGAACTTTAATGATGGACACTTAGAGTGCATTTTAATGTTGATGTAAAGTAGTTCTAAATATGTATTGAAGGCGTGACATTAACGCCCGCTGGGATTGTAGAATTATAGATGAAGGGTTGTCGCGGTAGGGTTAAGTGGTGCGCTACAAAGAAAACCCAGAATGTTGGGGTGGTTAAATATTGATGGAAAATGGCCGTCCTAAGCCGGATCACGTCCGCTCGTTCGAAACTATCAATTCGAAACCGCCCGCACTAAACGGCGTGTTAGGGAATCTTTTTAATTAATTCCACAGCACTTTACTATAGCGGGGCTAAGTCGAGTGGAGGTTCAAAGCGAGTATTAGCGTAAGTTTTATCGTTCGCATAATAACCAGTTTTTGGCAGCAAATGTAATATGAACAATAAGAAGGTAGGGCGTAAGCCGAAATCGACTTTTTGGCGAGTGCGGTGAGGAGTCGGCAAAATAAAGCAAACCGGACCCGACTACACGACTCGGGGCAATAATAAGGCCATTGTTTTTATACAAATACAATATTGCGTTTATAAATCCGATAAGCCTAAAAGAGTTCGCGAGAGCGCCGGAGTAGCAACAGATACAGCGGACGAAAATGTTTTTAAACCTCACCATATTCAGAATCGATTTAACAAATATCGATTATTAAAGAATTTGGGTGAAATTTAAAATAGCACGAGTTTAAAATCGCGAAAAAGTATCTTATTAGTGACAGCCTTAAAATCGAATTAGAAATATAAATTTATTTTCGACTATGACAAAAAACGTTTAAATGAAAGTATTAAGGACACTTATATATATTGTAAATTATAAGAGGTTTTTTTCATATTTAATATAGAAATTAAAAAAACGAGGACTCTCCACGGTAGTTCCTGTCCGCTCACGCCGCAACAAGAAGACCGTAGCCGTCGGCGAGCGTGGCGCCAGTAGCGTCCATTTTGTATTTATTTATTTATACCTTGTCTGCCCTTATTTATGTATTTATTCATCTCCGAACCGCGGAACATCACTAACGTGGTGCCGAGTCGGTCAGGACGTCAGGATTTTTTCGGACTGGGTGGGGCATTTTTGACATTTCTCCGTCAACGGAATTCCGATGCGTGATGAAGAACCCCAATCTATTCTAGAATGCATGCGATGTCTTATGAGGGGCTTAGTTAAACAGGCCCTGTCGTCGGAAGGAATTTCTGCTGTTTCACGAAATAACTAAGGCCAATCCAAAACTTTTTGTGCCAATGATTAATCAGTACTGTGTGTATCACAGTGTGAGAGTGTATCACTGAAATTCTTTAAGTCGTAAGTCCATAACATTTATTCATTCTAGCGTTTTGCGCGTTGAGATAAATTGCAATGATAGAACTATATGTAACTGTATATGTTAAGTTGTATTTCTTTTCGCTATCGTATGAGAGAATTTTAGAATATATATAATTATAGATCTATATTTATGTATATCTATTTCCGTTCACCTCGACGACTAAATTCAAATGCCTCTAAATATGGTGAGCATATATTACACAAAGCCATGAAAGTTCCAGTTATTAACCTACGTAGCTTTGTACGCTACAGAGGGAATTGGTCAGGAATTGTCCATTTTTATTTAGTTTAGTTTTAATTGAGCTGGTCTAATTTCTGCCAAAGCCTACATCACTCCTTTTTCATAACGAACTTTCTAGTGATTTCCCTTTTGTACGCATAATGAACGATATAAGAAAACACTTTTCTGTTATCAGGTGCGGTCAAACATGTAATTTTGCGACAAGTGGCCAAAAATACGTAAAAATATGTACATCGTGCATGATAAATGAAAAAATTAATATTATGAAAAATTTTATGATTCTTTTAATGTGAGAATGTGGCGGAGCTGGTGGTTCACCTGATGTTAAGTGATGAGTTGGCTCCTTCTAATGAAGTGAGAAACACAGAAGTTTAACTTCCACTTCACGTTGGCTTTCTGTGAGGTCACTAACTCTGAGTGACCTGCCCATATGTTAAATGGAGGGACTGTTGCGTGACCCTTCTTCAGTTAAAAACGTAAGATTTTCACCTCTTTTTATGGTAAGTGAAAACTTTCCAAGCCAGATGTTAGGGTATTATCGTCCTCCCTTGGACAGTTACAGCGCTTACGGTTGTGGAGGCATTCCCAATCTTAAAAAAATTTGGGCCCCGATTGTCACACTCACCAGAAGAAACGCGAAAGTATAGTTCCACGTCACGCTGGTAGAATACCGGGCCCATAATAATTCTCCAGCTGTGGGCCCATAGTAGTTCTTCAGACGAGCATACGCACCATGCTCCTTGCAGCAGCTTCTGTTGGCGCACAATAGACCGGATTGTTTTTACAGTAGGTAGGGCCACGCAGCAGCTTTCGCGTTTCGTCTGGTAAGTGGGGTAGCCGGAGCCAAATTTTTTTAAAGGTTGTCAACGCATCTATAACACTCGGGTGTAGCAGATGTCCATGGGCGGCGGTATTCACTTACCATCAGGTGAACCGTCTGCTCGTTTGGCAACTATTCACATTAAAAAAAAAAAAAGTAACGCCGAAGCACATTAAACTTATAGCGCCATACGAATGAATTCTGTGTGTTAATTCAGCTACTGATAATCAAGCGAACCATTTGAAATAATCCAATATCACACAGTCAATATTAGGTCTGCTACTTGATGAATGTAAACCAAAAATTAAAAGTTAACTTATGGCTAAAGCATATAATACCATAGCCAACCTGTTGATAGTCACGTAGGCTAAAATAAGACTACAGGTATAATACCTGTACCAATATATTATAGAACACGCAAACGTCAATGTAAATAAAGATATTTTGAATTTGAATTTAACATAAACTTACGCTGCATTAAACGTGAGGCAAGCAAATACAGTTTTTACACTTCACAGCCTTCTTTTACTTAGACTAAATTACGAGTAAATATCGTATTCTCTGATATTGATAAAACACCGAAACAAAGTAAGGTAATTGGGACAGTTATAGAAGAAAGGAGAAACAACAACATAAGACTAAATGGAACAGTATCATTAATCGAGAACTAAAGCGCAACGATTGATTAAAGCAGAAATAAGGCATAATTTTTTAAATAATTTTAAGCAGTTACGTAATGTAATATAGCATTTCTAAATGTATTATACTACCTTATGTTACAGTAGCAATATAGAAGATAAGTACTGCTAAGTGCCCATTCGTACAACAGACTACTGTTTCACGAATGGGCAGGTCCGGAGAAGTACCGCGACCTCACACAAGACCGGCGTAAAGTGGAAAAGTTGTATGTATATATTATCTGATTTTGTGAGTAACTGGAGCCTCTAAATTATATTAAAATATAGCAACGCATCTGCAACCGTACGGGAGTTGCAAATGTCCATGGGGGTGGTTATCACTAAATATCAGAAGAACAGAATATCAGAAGAACCAGCTCGCTTACCACCTAATTATATAAAAAAAAGTCATTCTTCTCAAGCGTGTACCTGGAGTACGTATACATTTAATCCTAACACGTTTGAGATTAGCCTAAGCTTGATGAAACATTCATAAAATCAGATATCTCTGTCTACTCTTTGGGCTGACGAGAGGGCTTGTTTCGTAATTGTCAATCGAATGAGTGGCCAATTACAAGAATGGCATCAAAGAATTTGTGGGAAGTGTGTGACGACAAATAACTAAGCACTTTCAATTGCTTTTCATGTAAGATTCGTGATGATAGGGTTCTGAATAAAAATGCTCAAGATAAATTAATAAATCGAGTTTAATTATGGAAAATTAATAAAATTATGAACAGATATGTTTACACTTACAGAGCATATGCCGTACACTATATGTACATTCTAAATATCCGGATCTGGAAAAATTATGGAGTAAGCCAATAAACCTTCAAAACCCAGGCGGAACTTGGATCTGCTCCCATGGGTGTGGTTATTACGAAGTCATAAAAGAGGTTGGATTCGTTATACCAACAAAAGTGTGCTTACGCTACTAATATTATTTAATAATATCATTGAAAATGTTTTTCTATTTTCTTTCAATACTGAGACTTTTTTTTTGAAAATTTATTAACCGGAAATATAAATTAAAGTTTGGTTAGACTCAATAAATATCTTTTTTCTTGATGATTAATTTTTATTTTCTAATTTTATAGGGTATTAAAGTTACATATAAATGTATACTGTCATTGGTGTACGTATACCAATGTCATAAAAAACTGTATCACTTTATTTTTTATATGCATACTGCAGGTAAATGTAATATTATAGACATACATTATTTAATATATCTTATTTTAAATAATCGTTTTATATTAGTTTTTTACGTAATGGGTATGGGAGCATCCATTAATTACGTGTGGCGATTTTTCGACTCCCCTCTTGGTAAGTCGTTAGGATATTTTTAACCGACTTCAAAAAAGGAGGAGGTTTCTCAATTCGACCGTATTTTTTTAATGTGTGTTCGGGGATAACTTCGTCATTTACGAACCGATTTTGATGACTCTTTTTTTGTTCGAAAGGAGATATCTCAAGGGTGGTACCATGATGTAATGGTACCACCCTTGGTGTAGATGGATGGTGACGAAAACCCAGATCAGATGATGGCATCCCTGAGAAATCGAGGGCAATCCTCAAATGTTATAGGTGTTGACAATGCTTTTAGTTTCCTGTTTGAAGTCGGTTTTTTTGTTCAAAATTATTATCGATTAAATAAGTAAATTTCTACTTGGTCGAATCCAGTTCATCACAATCATGACTGCCACGAAGCATGATAATGAGCCACCTGCATCCACCGACTTCCCGCACATTTACACAAGTCATCACTCCATCTAGTGTGGAATTGTCCTACACTGTGATGGCTTACGTGGTTATCACTAAATAACCTGCGTGATAAGAGTTCGCAACGAAGACGTCCGCAGCAGAACAAATAAAGCTGACCTAGCTTAAAAGATTAGTAAGCTGTAGTGCCAATTCGCCCGCCATATAACCGGATTTATTTAACACAAACATAACTTGCTTAATTATTATTATTTAAGTCTGCAATGGGAGACACGTAGTTTAGCAACCTTTTCATTCATAATGTATTATGCGGGATTGGCACGCTGATGGTGTACATTTCAACGGGACTCTGTTCGCATAAAACCAGAAATCAATGTATAAACATTTCATTTGCAAAGCAAACCTTTTTAAATGTACTGTTATACGCTTCGAGATGCCTTAGATTCGCCATAGATGCGGTTAGATATCTAATAAATTAGAATTTTCTTCGCCATAAGCAACCGCTATCGGTGTTCCATCTGCATTAACTTTGAAAGTGGCTGTAATGCACGTTGGCGAGCACCGAGCTTAATTAGCAATTAACTCACGCTATATCGCGACGCTATCGCTTCGCTGGCGCTGGCACGCACTCGCCGCCTAACATGGGATGTAACGGAACATGGGCCGTAACAATAAATACTGTAACACGAAACATGCGTTGTGATAAAAAAAAACATGCGATATAACACAAGCTACGAAGCACCCTTTATACCGCACACGTATGTTAGCATAGTTTAATGTGCTAGGGACTAGACTACTACTAATTAGGTAAAGGATGGGTAAAATTCCAAGGAAGTTGTACTTTACAGTATGGTTTATTAGGCATTTCTTAATACTGATGATATTTATATTATATGTGCTAATTTTTGTATGTCTTTCAATTGATAATAATAAAAATGGTTAAGGATTTAATACCTGGATTTAGTTAGACATCTACAACACCCGCTTGCTGATGTGTCGACAACATTAAATGTACATTCGATAAAGACAGCATTCACAATTAAAACTATCTACATTAACCATATCAATTATTATTATTATACTTCGATACGTTGAAAATACAAGGTATTCAAAAACTAACATATAATACTGAAGAGAGTATTCAAAATGAAAAAGAAAATAGGTTAAATCATCTAGTTATGTAGATATTTCAGTAATTATCATTTGTATTTTCTCAAGCTAATTTAATCAATGATTTTTCTTTGGTTGATTAACAACCAAAGAAAAATCATTTATTAAACCATGGACCATTCAACAATATACGTTCGGTAATAAAGAATCTTAATGTGCTGTAATTCCCCTAATCGCTGTTTAAGCATCCCTTGCAATGATGTTAACAATAGAGTTTTGCACATTGTTAAAGCTGCAGAACAAATGTTTGATGAGCATCTGACGGTCCTCACGGGCGCTTCATAAGGGCTCGCAGTGAGCACTTGCAGAACTAACGAGTGTAAACTAGCGGACCTGTCTTCAAGTTGCACGTAGGGCCGAGTCCAATTTCCCTTGTTTTCTTTAGGCTCGATGAAAGGAGACTACGCAGCGCAGTCGTACCGTCGTTGTAGGCTATTGTCCCTGAAGTGCAGGTTCCTAACGTTCTGCGCACCGTCGGTAATGACCTGAGGCGATGAAAAATTCAAACGGAGCGACGCTGAAGATAGAACTGCAAGCCCCCGGGCGGTGTGGAACACGTTTTCGGGGCTCGCTGAATGATTAAGCGAAACAAATACGATTACTTTCAGCGTTTAATGTTATGAGTGTAATAATTTGTTTGCACTTACTAGCTCCAAAGTTCTTACCAAAAACATATCCATCCGGCTTAATTGAAATCGGTGTTCATGCTTTTTTTATGTAAGAAGGTGGCAAACGAGCTGGTAGATCACCTGATGTTAAATTGCAACACCCGTAGGGTTACAGATGCATTGCCACCTTTTAATTAAGTGGGCCCCGGCTACATCACTCACCAGAGGAAACGCAAAATCATAACGCTGGTCTTCTGTGAGATCTTGGACCTCCCATTCGTTCAACGGGGAAGACTGTTGCATGGCCCCACCCACCGTTTCAATAAACACTGAAATAATCAATGATCAATAACGTTATATTTTTTTTCTTACTTTCACAATGTTTTGAATGCAACCTTTTCGAATACCTAATATCGGAAGGCTTTGTATGGAAACGTTTAATATATCGGCTCTACCCTCCACAACTGAAATGCGAGTAAGGGTTTCACACTAAGACCGTGGTAAAGCCACGCAGCAGTTTATGCTGTTGCCGAATATGCACACTTAGAGGAACCACAGCTTTATAGAAGTCCAGCGTAGAGTGGACTTAATACTTTGGCGTTTCGTCTAGTGAGTGTGTAGTCCAATCCTTTGAAAGTTGGCACCTCCTCTGCCATCTCAAAGAAGTTTTAGATGGTCACGGGCGGCGGTAATCACTGAAAATCAGGTGAAACGCCTTCTCTTTTATGAAGTTCTCATAAAAAATACATAAATATGATATGGGTCGTCTTTCAAGACTTGCTAAACGGGTAGTAATTTATAGAATTTTAGAATATATTTTCGATAATGGTTAGATCTTAAATAAAATGATCTCCATCCCAAAACTATACATTAATCAGGAATTCTTATAGATATTGTTATCGTATAGAGTTCTTATGGATATTGTCACTTTTTCTTAGTGCTTAACGGAGAGTGAAAATTCGTCTTCAGAGCCTGAAATACTTGCATGATTTGATCGCACAATCTAAATTTTATAACTACTAATCGCATTTGATTTCTTTAGTCAAAATTCATGCCGACATACACTTCTCGATCTGAGCTGATTGAAGATTGACATCTAAGATACATATATACGATATCTGATGATTCTGTCACCTGGAGGAGAATCAAGATGAGATTGTTAGTCTCGACCATTTTTGTCATTACTAAACCTTTCTCATATATTTATGACGACACACGATAACACCGGTCAACATGTTAAGAGAGAAACGCTAACATAATAATACTGGTTCAATTTAATAAAACAGATATAATGATCAGTGACGTAAACAGGTCGAAGAACATCTAAACTATAGTTGCTACTCTCTTAACGGATAACTTGTTGTTTTTAAAGGGAAGTTCTACAACAGGCATGTTACATACAAAACAATAAAAGCTCGGGCTTGATACGTTTCAAAACATTTAATCAGTTATGTCGGAAATAACGGTTACAATTAATTAGTATCTAATTAATTTCTTTCCCATAACGTTACTTGTGTTGGAGTCAGTTGATTAGGACTCACGTTCACCCACGCGGTACAAAATCACGACGCACGATACAAAATTCATATTCCATACTCTTCCGACGTGTTTGTGGCTGTAGGATAACGGTCTAGGTCATAAACGAAACGCGGGTAGCGTAATGCTAACTCACTGAGACAAACAAATTTCTAGAAAATAGATTAAGATATCAATGACTCCGTGGCGCATTTGCCAACGTATTGGCTTCGGCGTCGTGGGTCGTGAGTTCGATTCCCATACGGGACAACTATTTGTGTGAACCACAGATAGTTGTTTCGTATCTGGATGTTTGTCAGCGTGTAATTTATGTTTATTAAATGTCCTTAAAACACAGGATAGTTTTATCCCAGAGTAAGGGCAATGTTTTAAAAAAATAATTATAAAACACCTATTGTACACAGTTAAGACAATAAATGATTATCTAAAGGTTAAAAAAAAATAGATAAGTATTTAGTGTTCAGGTATAACCCGAATGTTACATCTTTACATTGGAACAGAAAGAAAAAACTTACTATTCTGTCAGTACTACTTCTGCTGTTGTATCATTAGGCCTGCATTGGAGACGCAGAACATCTCAAAATCTATCGAGGCAGCCAAACAAGTGTTGTTAAATCCATCGGCTTCGGTTATCACCTAATATGAGGTGCACCGTCTGTCTCTCTGCCGTCTTATCCGTAAAAAACATATCGTACAGTTAAATATCGCACAAATCCTATCGACCCTGCCACGGCGCATAAAAAGACGATCGAGGAAATTTCAGAAAAATCGTAAGGGAGACGAGCAAACGTATGTAGTTCGGGGAACAATTTGCAGCATCCGCTGTCGCCACCGATCCGAAGATTCCCGGTACGCGTCGCGGCTCGAAATCGCTGGACGGCGCGGGCGGCGGCGCGTGGCGTTTGATGCGCCGACAAAGGGGCGTCCCTTTGTCGGCGTGTCGGCGAGCGTGGGACACCGCGTGCTGTTGAATCGATCGGGTCAATTAATGAAGAGCAAACCTCAGGATCGATCACAACGGTGCCGTCAGCAAGAGCACGAAGAGCTCTCAAATTAGAAGTTGAAAATAGGTTATCAAATTTAGGCTTGTCTTAAGTTTTTACGGCTAGAAAGTCTGCAGTGAAATATAAATTATTTCCTTTTTCTTAAAAAATAAACATGAAAATTACATTAACGGTAGATACTTTACTTTTTAATCTTAACTAGACGCTAAGATTGCTGCGATTAATTAATATCTTATATTAATTATTTTATAAAACATAATATAATACATTAGATTAAACCAACATTAAAACATATGATACACTAGGATTAAAAATGTTTTTGATTTATCTGATATATTCAAGATATCATAGGGAAACAATTGAATTCACTGAATTACTGAATGACTATTCCTTATATTACATGCAGGGTTCGTTTTCATGACGCTGTTGAAGGATGAGAGATTATGCATTCATACATAAAATGCGTAGATAAAACTTGCAAATATTTTTTCACCACTGCCAGAATTTGAACCCGCACCTCCAGAAGACTTCCTAAGTCCAGAGACAAGTACTATAAATATAAAAAAAATCATATTTTTTTATATTTATAGTACTTTATTTATAGTATTTTATATTTATTATTTTAGTCTGTGACATTTATCGTGCTGCAATTGCACCTGGAGAATAGCAATATAATCTGTTTTTCTGCTAACTCAGTTATGTTGGTCATACTATATTACTGAGTATCTTTGGTACCTTTAACATTCCGAATAATTATAACCAGCCGTCATTTATACATACGATGCATATTCATATGATGCGGCCGAATGAATTAATTAGTTGTTGACACTTTCACAGAAGTAACAAGTTTTATAAACTTGACATAGTTATGTACGTTCAGGGAGCGAGGTGTTTTAGATTTAATATAAAAAATGTATTACCACATGATTGATATTAAATAATTTCTTTATTTAATCTCAATCATGTTGAAAGTTTTTCTCTAAGTATAAATACTTACAAAATAGGAACTTATATTTACAAAAATATTTTCTTAGTTATTATGCACTCAGATAAATAAATATATGATAACGTTTTTCTTTCGAAATTTTCATATTTAATATATCAAAAAAACTTATTTTTTTCCGTGTCAGTATGACAAGTCTAGAGACAAATTAAATGTAAGTTAAAATTTAGTCGCACAGTTTAGTTCCCATCGTCAAATCACCTCGGAGCCCCATAAAAGTACTTCGAGAGATGGTATATAATTATAGGGTATATTAAATATTAAAACTTCACTATTATTTATTCTTCTGAAACATTCTTTTTCAAATAACCATATAAAAAAACTAACATAACCTACATATTCCGGCAGCTTTTAAATCGGTTGCTTGTTTAAGTTTAGAAAGTTGATTAATGACATCCATAGCACGCCCATTATGACTAAACGTACATAGTTTTAATTTATACCTGTGGCTTGACCCGCAGCTGTTCTTAAGTATGACACAGTACCTTTTATCGTCTACCCTAAATACAAGAAAATTTTAAATCAGAAAAGTGTTTCTCCAAACTAAATTCTTTTTCAACCAATTCAAAAGAAACACTTAATTTGTTTACGCTTATGCGTTATGATGATTCTCTAACACCTCAAAAACTTGCGTGTTCTTGCCCTTGCTCAGCCCTGAAATAATATTTACTAACAATATCTCCTGACACTTTAAGTTTATTCATAAAATATATTAAAAGTGCCAGGTGTGCCGGTGTTAAGTAAACAGGTCTTAATATTACTACAATATCATGACTGTTGCACAAACTCTCAAGCCAAGAATCATAGATGGAAATCCTCAAAAACGACGCTTTCAATTTGTGTACCAAAAAGAAGGCTTTGATTTAGGAGATTTTTGGTCCAACAATGGTTAATTCGATTAAGGGATCTGAATACACAACGCGACGTCCCCCGCGTCGATAATATTTGTTAATTACCTTCACGGATAGAACGGAATCAACGGTATGGGCGCCAATTAGTGATGGGCCACCCTCGACACCGTTCCTCTGGTCTTATTGCTCCGAGAGTGCCGAAATTCGAAATGATTTACGAGTGGCGCTTAATTAATTGCGCAGTCAGGCGGTAGTTAGAGGAATATCAATATAAATAGCACGTCCTCTTCTAAGAGTTATGCAAGTAGTGTACTAGACGAGAGGATTTCTAGTAAGTTCAGGCAGAAATTGGGTGTCCAAATAGTGTGAATGTGCAGTCGACCAGAAAATTGAGGATTTATTGGAAAGCAGTTGCACGTGAAAAGGGATGATGTATTAAAAACTGAAATACTAAAATGAGCCAGAGATTATTACGTTGGAGTCTTGACAGTTTTCATCGACGTTACCCGGCAATGGCCAGGTGTAAAATATGTAAAAGTCTATCGCCTGCATCTAAAACGCAGTGAAATCACGTCTTTTACATTTATTGTAGATAATTGCGATTCTTTTTAACACAATTGATGATAGGGTTGCGAACCACACAATAAACTTTCCTATTTTGTACGTTCCAGGATACATTAAGAACTAAGGTTTTGAATTATTGTTTTCTGAAATCGCAATGGCTCTAATTAAACAAACTTGAACTACATACACTAATTGTGTCAAAATTTGTTTTTATCATTCCATTGTGTGTATTTATATGGGCATTTCGCATGAGTGAGGTAACCGAGTCCATTCAATGATTAATTACATCTACAACCCCGTGGTGTTGTAGGTGTTCAATTGTCCATAGGCGGCATTTAACATGACTTAAAATAAAACCCGACATCTATTAAACGTTTATAAATATACATGTCAATTCACCATTAAAATTTCTATATATTATTTCACGTTCAGTTATTCCAAACGGGATCAAAGACCTTACATCACTAGAGAGTTTAGCGGCATTTTTCCGATTCGGAATACCACCCTACGTCGTAGCAGAAGCGGGTGGTCTTCTTCCATCGCGCTCCCCGCTGTGTACGACTCACATACCGACCTGTCCTACGATAAAACACGCGGTCACAGCCACGTATACCGCACGCGGCTTGTGACGTAACCAGCGCCCAAACACAAAATGGCGACGCTAATTTACGAGTCCATTTGAAAGCGGCCAACATGAACTTAATTAATTGATAAAATGATTTATAAAAACTAACAACAATTATAATATTTGATCACGATAATAGTACTAAGCACGTGTTCGGGTCGAGTTTTTAGTTCATAATTATAGATAACTGTGACATGAAACAATATATGAAGCGGATAAACCAGTGTTTATCTATTTTTTGGCAGTAAACATTTTAATTAAGCATTTGCTAATGAAGTGTATTAATGGATTTTGTTTTCGTCGTCTTTTCAAACCAGCATCGACTGCTCCGTAAACTTACAATCTGTACATTCCCTTATCTGTATTACTGGAAGCAGCTGACATTTCTTCTTTTTCTTCTTAGGATTATCAATCGCTCATCAATATACATCGCCGTCTTATCTAATGGCGTTACTTGCGTAATAATTTTATTGGATAAAAAAGGACACATTCTAAATGTTATGATGTTAATTTTGATTTAACAGTTTTTATATTTAACCAAGTGTAGTATGCACAAGGTTAAATATAAAAACTGTGTAAATATAATTATATTACGCAACGTAACTGTTTCGAAACCTAATGAAACGGTAAAAAATCGGCAATCTAGTTTCATTTAACTATAGGGCAGCGATAAACATCGTGCCAGCCACTTCATCATGCTAATAACACAAATATGAAAGTTTTCAAATGTTTATCATCACACATAGAATAATCAATTAAAAGGCTGACAGATAGTGTTAGTTTTTCGCAATACACGAGAAGGAAGCCACGGGTAAAAGCTAGTTAGGGTACAATAGATTTAAATTCGCGTAACAGCTTTTGCGAGCGGAACCCACGCAGATAAAAAATCGAAAAATCGAGAAAAGAATCGAAATATCGACGAATCTCGTTCTATGTTCAGACTCGATGTCTTCGAACCATATAGCGGAACATCGAAAAGGAGGAAAAGAAAAAAGAAATGTGGAATGCCAGCAGACATTCAAATAAAGAGGCTCGCGGGCGCGTTGGCGCCAACGTTCCGAGTCTATGGTTCTTTTTTTTCGAACGGAGCACGATTCAATTCGCCGTGGACTAGCCGCTGACGGCTCACCGATTGATGTCAATCCGCGCTAGTTGTCTCTGCCCGCTAATTAGCTATGCGGGATGATTTTGCGCTCTTCTGTTTTTCGAAGGCGAAATGTCTATCGGCTTTTCAAGTTCCTTGTGAATGAATATAACGAAACATTTGCTTAATATTCTAACACTTTGTAATGTTTAATTTATGCACTTGATATAAAAGAATGCATTACTATAAAATAATTTTATTTGTATGCTTCATTGGGCTTGTTCATTACACGCCAAAAAGTGCAGTCTTTAATACTTCTATTTTTTTAAACTTTAATTTGGCATTTATATGAGGTGAGACGTGATAAAATGTGTTCACTTGTTTAGTTATTTAGTATAAATAGTTGCAAAATGTTTCTGAACAGTCATTGTTTTACTGGAAATTGCGATGATACGAGAAAATGAAATGTCAACTGGATTAATATTAACTTAATTTATCGTATATCAAAAAGAATAAATAATTCAAAATTTATTCGCTAACCGCACATAATACGAAGGTAGCAAAAACATCAAACGTCAAGCGCGGCATTCGCGCGCAACATTTATAATCTGTCCCCAAAAATGTTTAACAACCGTCTAATTCTAATCCATCGTTCGCAATCCGGGGGACGCTTAATTTGCTCTTTTTTGGAACTGTCGCTCTATCCAGGCCCACTATTGGATTAACGAAGCCGCCTGGAAGGAGCGCAACTTATTGTCATACACTCGATCTTTTCTTACGGGATTGGATTGCGCTAATACCGGCAAAAAGGTACACTCGACGACATTCGGTCGGTTCGCAATATTAGCTGAACGCTCCGGCTCCGATTGTTTGTTCTGCGCTAACCGTCTGTGGATCAAACCCGAGCCCGCGTTCCGCTTCGGTGCATTTCGCTCCGTTACAGTTGGGAGATGATTGTTACGATTACTGCAAATTCGTCGGCAGCTATCGCTTTCGGGGTTCCGCAGCCAACGCGACGTATCATGCTGTACATCGTGCATATTTACAACTAACTCTACTAATCTAATTCAGCAAATATGAAGCACAGTTCCGAATACAACGTGGATGAACCAAAGACAAAAGTAAACAGCTTTTTACTGACTACTTCCCCAGTTTACCATCTTTTTAACTATATAGATAAATAAAATTGTTGTGTCTGTTTGTAATATTAAAATAACCGCTTTTTACTAAATGTATATGCATGTATACACAGTACATATACCAAAATAACATTTTTTACAATTTTTGTCTGTCTGTCTGTTTGTTCCGGCTAATCTCTGAAACTGCTGGACTGATTTGGACGGGGCTTTCACTGGCAGATAGCTGACGAAATAAGGAGTAAGTTAGGCTACTTTTATTTTAGATTTTTTTATTTGAAATTCCAAGTGAACGAAGTCGCGGGCACAGCTGGTTTATAATAAAATGGCAAGCGAGCAGTTGGTTCTCCCGATGTTCAGTGACTACCGACTTCCATGGACATCTGCAGCACCTAAGAATCGAATGCATAGCCAACCTAGTTGACTGCCGCCTATGGACATCTAAAACATCCGGGCGGTTCCACATGCGTAACTAACCTGAAAGTGAGGCCCAGGTTACCTCCCTCACCAAACGAAACGCGCAATACTCCCCCTTCACGCTGGGCTTCTGTGAGGTCGTAGTATTTCATCGGTTGAACCCAGCCAATCGTGCAGCAGTGGAAGCTGATGCGTGGCACTACCTACTCTAAGGGTAATGTGATCAGGCTCTTGCATAGTTCGTGCTATTACAAACTATAACCATATCAACGCTTACCATCAGGTACTGATGGCCAGTTCACATCAATACATTAAGACACCGTACTTGTAATATTTAGTAGACGTTTTTTACATCTAGGATTTTATGGTTACATTTTTATGTTTTATCAGCAACTGGTCCAAAGATCTATTCACAAAGACAGTACTGCCGTGTTTTCTGCCGGCTCTTATCGGTAATAAACTACAGGGAATGCTCTGAACCGGTCTAGTTTAGGGAACCGGGGGTAGTTTTGGAGTCCATTAGTTTCTGAATCGTAACTAGACAAAGTAGTTAAACCTTAAATTATTGTTGAACTGCTGAACTAAATTATAAGAGGAAACTTTGATTTCACCTTTGACCACGCTCGTGACGGAGTTGAGTGATCAATTAATCCGCCCTTGGTTTTCGACTTGCCTATCTAGCATTTTTTGAATAACTTGACAAAAAGATTATTCATTACATATTCATTATATACAATCTTAAGATTATAATTTAATGAAGTAATACGTAAAACTTTAATATTTCTACCAATATAATCAAAAGCAGACCATCCTTTTTCATTTAAATGCATATTCAGATCTGTCGAAGACCACACGATAAAGTAAATAAGTCTGTTATGCTGCTAAATAATAAAAATGTTTCATAGTATCACGATGCACGCACCTTTACTAACTACCGAAATGTCACTCTAATTCGCCACGGCTCGTTGCCACCGAAACGAAGCGAAGAAAAAAAAACCGTACAACTTTCGAGAGATTAATTTGTCATTTGGAAGGAAACTAGTTTTGCGAGACGGATTTCATGAGTAGAGAAAAAAAAAACGGGCCTAAACTTTCGGGTGGGTTTTCAATTGGAACTGTCACGATTACGCTATTTCGTGATTAAATAAAAACGTTGGAATTATGAAACATCTTGTTAAAATTAATTGGCGTAACTTGAAACGTTTTAGAAGGAATCCTATTGACTGAACGATTTATGGAATCATTTTTGAAATCATTTCGTAGTAATGAATGTGCGATTTATGATTTGTAATACGATTTACACGTTTACAAAGATATTTTTATAGAACATAAAATCACACGTACAAATACTAATTTAAATTATTGATTTGAATTGAATATTGCGTTTTATTTTTTATTAGCATTATATCGGTATTCGCTTTCTTCTAAGATCTGTTGCAAAATGTTCTGTCAAACTTTTAGTTGATGAAAATTATAGGAGATCATGCGTACGAAACTGTTTACAGACGTTGCTATTTCATTTCGTCTTAAGGTATGAACTAAAAAGTTCCTTTTTCGCAACCCTAGCAGCAGTCGATCAAGGATTAAAGGCCCATTTACACGGTGCAAGTTTCTTGCCTGTTGTATACAATTAAATTGAAGCAATAAATGAGTTGCATGGTCTAAACAACAAATGGTCTAAACAATTATTGCGCGCAATTTATTGCATTCAATTATTGCTCTTGTATGTTCAAGAAAATGGCATCGTGTAAATGGGCCTTAACAGTAATCTCCAGATAAGTCGTCCGTCTGCTACAGTGTTGACCAGCCCACCGCCATTGAACTTTTATTGCACTTCTTGCATCTGTGATCGGTTCAATTAAAGTCATTGACATCATTGAAACGAGCATTATTTAATTATTCAACGCCTCGCTTTACCACTACCTAATGAGCTAATGAACGACGTCTTACTTTGGACGTAGATTAATAAGCGAAACCAAGTGTTGGTTTTTCGCCTTATGAATATAGCGGTAACGAAGACGTCCTATTCTGTAGGAGTTTCAATTGTTAGCGTTCTATTATTTTTTTCGTCAGGTCTATATAATCATTATTACAATTTAATTTAAATTTATACAAAGAATACTAAGAATCGTAAATATCTATTAATAAAATTTTTCTCTACATGTCTAAGTTGCTTCAAACATTATTTTCTTATCTTTATAACTGCGTTTGCAGCCGACACTTGCTGAATTATTTCACTCAACTTTTTTACCCTAAATTTCCTTTACAATCTAAGGCGTTTAAAGCGGCATTCATCACTTATCTGCAGCAAATAAATACTCTTTTACATGGTACTGATCCGTTAGTTACGAGATCCTCTTAGAAATGCATTGATTTTGAGAAACGTGGAATCTCAACCATTGTATTACATTGAGTACATAAAGTGTTAGTCTGATTGACTTTTTCTGAGTACTGATCACCAGTTTTTACCCAGAGTCTAAATATCGTGTTTTTGTCCCAATATTCAGACCGTTTTCTAGAATACCACCGCACCATCTGCGTTTTATCCGTAACTGATTGTTATTACTTCTTGAAAGCGAATCCATTGCTAATCAGTCTTTATTGCAACGTTGACCTTTGTGCAGAAGTTTAATGGAATCACATTAATTAATGTTAATTTAATAATTTCCTTGGCCTACAAAAAATTCCTCGACGGTATAATAACTACGCATTCTACAAGTGAAAGAAATTAAGGTTTGTTAATATGTCAATTAACATAAAAATTTTATTATTACTATCCAAAAATTCAGATAAAAATATTCTAGCCTGCAAAAGTCTAAAGCTTTCGCAAAATTTATTTTAATCATTTCTTACCATCGTGAATTACACATGTTCATATAAAATTAAAGATTAGGTTTCGGGATCTAACGCTCGGTTTCTGAAACTACAACCAACTAATCAACTGTCAAATGGCTTTTCAAGTGTCATTTGGGCTGCCAAAATGAAATTTGAAAAGCCATTTGACAGCTGATTAGTTAACTTCTACGATGATCAGTGTTTCAGAAACCGGGCGTGAGAGAATTTTAAACATGCAAATCCGTATGAATAATATAGGAAATATACAATTCAATGTATGTTTTATTTTCGGAAAAAGCACCTTGTGATTTAGGTAACACAATTCAATCTACTCTACTATAAGGATTACCATGTGTTGGATACTCGTATGTCTGAATGACGTCAGAGGCACGGGCAAAAGGGCCTGTCTTTAACACGCTCTCTTGACCCGATGGAGGCCGAGGGAAATCGCTTGGAAAATGGACAGCTATACGCCCGCTATAAGGATGCTACTTTGTTCTATTTCTGGTATCCGTACCAATAATAATACGTATGTTTTTACTTATAACATCCTATTATTATGATATGCTTCTGTACTCATATTCTTTAGGCACATTTTATGAAGTAAATGAAAGTTTATCTTTCCTCTTTAGATTGATACAGTTATCTTTTAAATTAAATGAAAAGTCATCTTTTTCTCTATTACGTTCGTAAAAAATCTCTAGACAACGTTTGTTATCCAATAAACGGTTCATCATCATCATCACATCAGCCTGTTTGCGTCCACTGCTGAACATAAGCCTCTCGTACAGACTGCCATGAAATACGATCCTGAGCACAGGTCGTAACTCCATCTAGTGGGGGTTCGTCCCACACTGCGATTGCCACAGTTAATGTAAACTTAATATGCGGTCACCTTCCTCATGCTGCTCAGACATTTAATTACCTGCATAACTTTTAAGCACGGCAATTGGCCCCGGGAGATGACGCCATGATTAGAGTAAATTAATATAGGACAAGCTTCAGAGTCTATAGCCCATTAGGGCTATAGACTCTGAAGATACTAATCAGAATAAACTATTATTTGAACAAAACTATAATTGGACGTTTCACAACGCTTACTTAAACATTAAATGGGATTGGTACGCCGTATATGATGAATAATCACAAATTGAAAACGTTTCAAAACCGGCGTACGTGCAATTCATGATGCAATATGAAATAGATATTTAGTATGTTAACACGTCTGATATAATTTAGGGATAATTAAAACAACCAAAAATTCACCGTCCGCGATATTCGAATACTTTTTTTATTTGTGAGAAATGGGAAAGAAGCATAACTTTCACTATAAACTGCCATCAATTCGGCCATTATTTTATTATAAGACCGCCTAGTGCTTGACAGGAGCTCGCCCCTGATGGTAATAGGCGATGCTGCAGTACTTCGTAAACGTTCTATCTCAGTAAAAGGCTATTCACTCTTGCCTTGAAGACACCTACGTTATATTCGGACGGAAAGACACGCCAGCAAATTGGAATCAGCAAATCCAGTAGAGTGGCAGCAGCGATACCAACAATTAAAACGTGGGTCCTTTGGCTACTCCATTTTAGAGAAAAAAGGAGCATTTTCGATAAATGCAAACGCCTTAATACTTTTTATTACGTGACTTT